AGACAGACCATAGATCAATAACATGTTAGAAGAATGACATATGTAAGTAAAGTAGTGTTGTGATTTGGATATACCTGCCTAAATATCTTGATACTGATGCTAAAAGCAAGCCACGTAAGAAACCTAAAACATCAGGAAAAGTAATAGTAACATTACATAACAGGGCGTCAAAGTGGAAGAAGAGCCTTACAAGCCAAATGTCCCCACACGATTCAACTGATAAAAAAGAAGTCTTATAAAAACACTGCCATTTTTAAAGTACAATAGAACTAGTATAATACCTTGTTTGATCGCATGGACATTGCGATACCATATGGAGTGGCGATTTTCTCTTGGAGGCCAAGGGGAAGCCAGGCTTTCCCTGTTTTTCGGATTGTAGTTATAAATTTTAATAAATAAATAAAAACACTTCGTTCCGTTTAGTTTGGAATTTCTTTGTTGTGTTTGCTGCCGGCCCGGCCGGTCTCTCCCCCATTCTCATTGATTATTTTACAAAGATGTGAAGCAGCGCCCTCTTAGATTGTTATGGTGAAACAGTAGATTGGCACTCACTGTTGCGAGGCCAGCCGAAATTTGCTTCCCTTGGTGAAAAAAAATGGAGGGATTGACCAATCAGACAAGGCTAACGTCATGCCCCTGCCAACCTGTGATTGGTCAGGGCCATGCCAAGGGAAGCCAGAGGCGGCTGGCTTCCCTTGCCTCACAATCCAATCAAATCGCATCAACTTAGTGTTGCAGTGACGTGTCCTAAAACCCGGAAGTAAGCTGCGCTCGGTTTCCCTCAACAAAAAAGTGGGAGTTCTCCATAGTATTTTGGAAAATAACTCGAAATAAGGTCTGTGGAAAACGAGCCTGTTAGATAAATGCACGTTTTGTTCAGTCGGATAATATCCACATGTCTACCCTACTTTTATAATTTTCGAATGATAAATGTAATCGATGGAAGATAGATAGCGTCACTGCACCACTCTCACCGCCGTTAGAAAGTAGCAAGCAACTGAAGCAAGTGCAATTATGGAGGGTGGAGATTTGGAGTATTTAATCAAAAATAATAATAATTGTACTAAACTTCCGCTACAGCAGCAACAATAAATAAAAGCTGATGACAGGCCAATGCCCAAACTGGAGCTGTGTACAGCGAGGAACAAAGGAGCGAACCGGACGTAAAACGTTAAAGGTCTCCTGATTTAGTTTGTGAATGAATGCTTATTAGAGTTTCGGCTGGAGAGTGCGTGCGGACCTGTCGGTTAGATAACAGGCGTGTGTAAGTCCTGCATCTGTATGATAGAAATGTGTGTAAAATGATACCGGGCGCTGTAATCACTCATCTGGTTACGTTATTACATTGACCACCACACCCCCGACCCAAAACGTATTATTGGCTTCTCCTAATTTTTTCACCACGCCACGCTACTGGTTTTATGTATACCATGCATCATTAATGTGATGTGTGTTATACAACTGAGTTGCAAAACATATATATATATATATATGAATCAATATGGTATTATGTATGTTCCTGACTTGTAAAGCTTGTTTTGTGTTTCTCTTTTGCAACTGTTCTTGTATCAGTTAGCCACAGCAGTAGATGAAATTCCATCGATGGAAAGCTACCCCGTATGTTACTTAAAGATAACGGCTCTCTCCCTCAGACCCAGACCCAGTCCTGAGTCCGATGGTGATCAGCTGGATTGTGTCCAGCCTGACTTTTTTGGTGACCGTCGTCGTTATAATCATTGTGGCCAAGGTGCTGTGCAACAAAGAGAAGAAGCCCACTGAACTGGAGCGAGAGACCAGAACCTGTACGTTTATTTTCCATCAACACCTTTGAGCTATAGAGGTGTGAAATCTTGTATGTGCACAGAGAGTAATGTTTGTGCTTCTGTCTCCAGGTGTGGACAACACTTATGTTGCCTTATCAATTAACAAGCTATGACGGGGTGTGCTGGCAACAGAACACTAAAGGTATATAATGTCATGATTCTTGAACATGTGATGCCTACAGAATAATATGTAGGCATATTCAAAAAAGGTATTGTGCATCGTGTGAGCTTAACAAAGTATGTCGCAAATGTTACAGGTGTATGAACTGAATCCCTGTTACCACATATAGACGATCTCTATTGAACTGATTTTGTGTCTTCTAAAACCAATGAGCACTAGTGATGACTAGTACTTGAAACATGTATTTTATTATGTTTATTCATTTAGATTACTTTGTATTCTGTTTTCATTTGACACTAAAGGATCCTTTGTTGCTTATTAGTTTCAAAAAGTCTGAATCAAGGTTAAGGTGAAAGAATAAAAGATGAAAACTTCAAAGGAGTTGGGAGAGGGGGATAATATTTAGAGTAAAGGAGATTTGCATCAATGCATCCTGATATACAGGAAATATAACATTCTTAATTGTGCCACACTAGTGCATTAAAGTAAAGTATATTGTATTTTTTCTTCCAGCAGAATTGCTGATGAGTGGACGGTCAGAAGGCTCGCGCTGCTTCCATTGTGGATTCATTCGGCAGGAGACGTGACTCACAACCTAAAAGCTCGGTCGGACCCAGTTCAGCAGCGTTTGGATGAGAAAGTTTTTGCTGGACTCTAACAAAGACCTCACACCAAACGTAAGGCTAGAGATTCTGCTGGGAAGAATGGATAGGATTGGCTTTTAAGCCTTGCATTATGGTAAGATTTGAACTATCGACCACAGAAGACTGACTGTAAATAAGGACTTCCAGTTCAACGTCTGTAGTTTCTGTTAGATTTCAGCTTCACTCAGATTTGGCTACTGCCATGACGCCAGATGTATGGGAACTGTGAGAATGTGACGTTAGTCCCTCAGGTCTGTGTAATTACCTTGTTTTGTATTTATTACCAGGCAACACTAATAACAGCCTCCACTAGCTAAATATGTACTTGCTTCTTCAGATCAATGATCCTTAAAGAATTATAAGATTTTCTTTATTATTTCCAATCCAACCCTACTATGCATCTTACGTCATTTTCAGTTTGTACATTACTGCACTTAAAGTTGGTGGATAGAAGCTGTTGTTGATTAAAATGCTGCTTTTGTTTGAGCTTCTAGGATTCACTTAATTTTGTTTGACAATCTAAATATTTCTGATGATTTACAGCATCGCAATAAGATACACAAGAGGACACAGGTTTTACTTTATGCATAATACAATTCATTTACTTTTACATCCTCAATTATTTAAACATTTCAAATGTATTGTTGCTCTTGAATAAATGACTAAACGCTTCAAATGTTTACATATACAAGCTCTTTAATAGTTTGAATTATGTAACCGCCATACAAAACACACATCAAACTATAGGATGAAAGGTTGGATTATGTCGTACAAATGTGATATATCTACTGAATCATAGCGTTAACAGCCTTACAGCTTGTATAAACAGTTTGATTTTAGATTGGTACCCGAAAACATTTCCCAACTTCTCATTAACCACTGAAAAAACATTAATTAATACCCCAATTATTCCTACAAAATCACTGAGGCACTTGCAATACAGCTGGTTTCAAAACTGTCCCATCTGTACTTTTATTATAATTATTTCTTTAAACTGACAAAAGGAAGCATTGTTGTACCACAAGATAATGTTAAGTACAAGGTTTTGGTCAGTCTTTATATTAACAATATACACAGTATCATAGATCATTCGACACCGTTATTATCGAGAACAGGACGCTAAATAGTTCTGGCCGGTCACACATTGGACGTTCAACTATTGGTTAGCACACCGTGAGATGAGTCCGGGTGTTTTTCCTTTTATAGATACACACTTTCTCCAAGTTAGTGCCAATGATATAAAAAAGAAGTTTCCTAAAAACAGGAGAAATTACAAGTTCTCTTGATTGAATCTGAAATTGAAACAAGGGTCTTAGAAGTATGATGTACACTTTTATGTAATACTTTAGAATATTGTATGTTGTGGATAAAGAGTGAGATATATATTGATAGTGGCTGAAACTTACAGTATATAAGACACATCTTATTACGCTAATCCAATGACCTTAAATATCTGTCTGTAAATATTTAATGTGCAGCTGTGGCAGACTTTTTTTCTACTCTACTTTTCATTTGGTGCCAAACAGCAGTGAATGCTGCTGAATGTGGATGATCTTCAGAAATTCTACTGTCCAGCTAAGAGTAAGAAGGATTTTGTGCATTGTTTTATGGATATGTCTATTAAGTATCTATTCTAGTAGGGAGGCTGTGTCAAACATAAGCAAGCAAAAAACTGCAATTAAAACCCATAAAATATTGCATAAAGCCCAATTTCAGCAATGTCAAAAATAAAAAAGGCATTGACTGAAATACATTCAATCAATTAAAATCCACAATAAAGAATAATATCCCAGTAAAATGAACATGACTTAAAAACGAAATCATTCTATTCCTTTGATGGGTTCATTTGTCTCCATACTGGAAAAAACTAAGTAGAGGAAGACTGCCACAGCCACGAAGAACACAAACTGAACCCAGAGCGGGACGAGGCGGGACGACGGCGGGGCCTTCGGAGCTTCTTTAGGTGGTCCGGGGGTCGATTTCAAATAGGTGCTTTTGGAAGTGGGCGGCAGGTCGTACATGTGGGGCCTGAAAGGGAATGGAATACATTATGCTTCGGAACCTAATTAAAATTCTCCACTACAAAGAACCCCTGACTTCTGAAGTCTGGTGTTAGCATTGGTTTACTATGATATACCCTTGTACCTGAAATCTTACTTTAACGTAATTACGGTCTTGCCTCCTTTGGGCCATTCAATGTCAGTTATACCACATTTTAAACAGCGAAACTATTTTCTGACATTTTTAGACTAAATCATTGTTAGAGGACATATTCAGATCTTCTAGCAGCTGGTTGAGGTGAAGCTTGTATAGTAATATTTGATATCATGTTTGGTAGTTTAATCTGAAACACTATATTTTATAAACGTAATCTTTAACAGCACGCAGTAACTATATAGCTGTCTAATAAATGCAGTGGACTAAGGAGTGCCGAATACAATATTTTTCAAGTTGGAGTAGTAAGACATTTAAAAAGGAAAGTATGGAGATACCAAAAGTACTTTAGTAAAGTCAAAAAGGTGACGCAAACTACATTTGGAAATTATCTGATGATGACACTGTTTGACTTTATATAAATATACTTACTCATCAGAAAATCCCTTTCCACTGTATTCAGGCTTTGGTCTTGAATAGTTTGAGTAGGATGTCCTGTAGAGAGGGAGATACAACCTCAAATATTGGAATACTGACGACTTCCAGTAAAGCAAAAAATATTTATAAAGTTATAACTCACTCGTGTTCAAGTTCCCTTTCTCTCCAAGCTGGTCTTGACCTCATGCATGATCCACTAGATAGACGAGAAAAATAAGTGATTAAGAAGTATTTGTATTTGATTCAATAAATATAAGAAAGTGTTAATGTTTGGAGCAGGTAATGGAAAAGCTGACCTGTCTCCCGCACCGTCACTCCTGTCCTGCAACAGAAGCAGTGATAATAAGTACTGGTGTTTGCTTTTAGAAAGATTGAATACAAACATTTGATATAACTTATTTATTAGGCGTGTCATGGAAAAATACAACCATAAAAGGGTGAACAGAAATACTTACAGGAGTTCTGTATTCATAGGTGACTTCCTCTGAAATTAAGACACAAACATGAATAACATGTATAATTATGTTGCTCCAATTTGACCTTAAGACTGAGGCTCATTTGAATGAATTGTTGTTGAATAATCCAGTTGTACCGGATAATTATAAAGTTCTGGCACAATAGTGGACTTTATTACTGCACATTTAATTATAAAGTTCTGGCACAATAGTGGACTTTATTACTGCACATTTATTCATAAAAGTAAAGCTTTAATATTGACTGCTGTTCTGAGTGTATATGTAAATTTACTTAATGAGTTACCCTCTTCTCTGTAGTAGGTTTTTTCAGGTGATGGTTTCGCTTTCTTTCCTTTGGCCATGGCTTCTTTCAGCTTCCTTTCATAGAGACTTCTGGTGGAGTCTGAGAACCAAACGTAGTTTTAGACATTATTAACAAGTGAAACCAGGGAGATTCTGACTGCTACAGAAGTGAAGTCAGGAACTTTACTCAGGTAAGGAGGAGGCCTGTGGAGTTTACGTTGATTCAAAAACGGGCGCAAAGTATGAGATTGTTGAGAGCCACTCACCGACCACAGGCCCGTGCTTTATCTCGTACTCGTCCAGCAGGTCGCTCATCTCCTTCGCAGTTTTACTCCTTAGCGAAGACATTTTGCTGGCTGGATTAATTCGTTTAGGTGTCTGTGTTGTGTTGTGTTATTATTGTTTGTTCTTTTTCGGTTAGTCTGTTAGTTTCGGTTGCCAAAACCAGACTAACAACCATAACTCCTCCCACCGATAGTGACCAGGAGGCGCTCGTTTTGTCTCGCAGTCAGTAAAGGCGGTAGGCGAACGGGAGTTTGAAAACATGGAGAGATTGAACCCCGCCCTCCTTTCTTGACCCGAATGTTAAAAACATTCGCTACTTCCGTCAACTTTTACATCACTTCCATTTCCGTTTGAGACATTCTTCTTTATGGTTTTTTGTGTTCTCCTTTGCAGAAATGAAGCAGCGCCACTAGCTGGCCTCTAATACGTTCTATGTATTTTTTAAATTATGTATTCCATGTGTTCATCACAAATGAGCAATTTTTTTATCTAGAATCATCATAACGTCTTTTAAATTCTCTACGAAGATCTGGCTGATTATTTTAAAGTTAGTAATATTGCAATTACTGAGAGTGGAAGAAACATGATTCAGATCATTCAAACGTACATAGTACAACATAAAGTACAAACAAATTAAACCACGATTTCATCCATATAAAATATTCAAAGTTTATTTTGTTTGTTAAATATCTTATCTGCAAAGTTACTGGTCAGAAGTATCATATTTATTAAAAGCAGAAGCAAACGACTACTCAAGCACCACATGTATCTCAAAAAAGTAGTTAATTTACTGAATACTTTCCCACTGTATTGCATTAAGAGTGCCTGGAAATAGGCCTTTTTAATCCTTCTAATACATCTATATTTCTTACCAAATGTGATCATTTTTTACTTATCTACAGTTTAAACAAATACATGCCTCATTGTTAGCATATACACATCTTTATTTAGCAGAAAATGGCATGTTACAGTCAACAAAACACACGTTTAAATGTTTATCACTTAATTTGAACAAAAGCATATTTTTATATGAACCAGCCCGCTTGGTCTGAGGCCAACCAGAACATCAGCAGTCCGGTCAGAATCACCACACACATCTTCAGTGTCAGCTTCAGCACGTTGAAACACTGCAGGAACAAAGGAAAGAATAGAGAGGGAAAGTAACCAAAAAGTTCAGGAACAAATGAACAAAGTGAACGTTCAGTGAGGGTCAGTAAGTACACACTTTTTGTTTGCTGCTACAAATGTGTGTGTCGCTGATATCAGGCATGTTCTCTGGTGGTTGAGTGTTTAAGGCATCACAGGCCGGAGTAATTTCCCTGCTAACGTCGATCTCCCTCAATTCCTGGACACCGGAAAGCAGGGAAAAAATAGTTAGTTGTGTTTATTTATGTGTGTTTTCATTAGGGCTGAAACTACTGATTCTGGATGACTTGTTTGGTCCATAAAATGTCAGAAATCAGTGAAAATGTTCCATTACATGTTCTCAAAGTCCAAGATAATGCCTCGTCTCTTTTATTTTGTCATTCCATACCCAAAGATATTCCGTATAATATGATATTAAACAGAGAAGTACAGAATACCTCCTTATTCAATTTTTGCATGAAAAATTGCTTTACTATTCAACATATTTCGTAATTGTTTTTCTGTGGATCGACTTATCAGTTTGTCGACTAATGCTTGCATCTCTGCTGTCATGTGTGCTCATTGGAGTCTGCGTGCAAACCTCAGATGTTTCTGCAGAACTCAGGTCCTCCTCCCCTTCAGTGGAGCTGCTGTGTGAATCTCTGTCACTGCTGAGCAAAATGACAAAGTAGACACACTTATTTCCATTTTCCATTTGACACTGCTCAGGTTGTTGTTACATTTCAAGAACCGAAAGTTTAATAAATAATAGGAACTTTGCTCACCACTCGTCGGTTTCATAGTGAATGACTTGAGACAATGGATCTGCACAAAACTGAACTTTTATCTGCCTCTCTGTAAAAAATAAATACAAATGGAAGCTGATTAATTGTTTTAAAAATATGTTTCCAAATACAAAGACTTTACCATTCATCATCCTCACTCACCTCTTCTCCTCGTCTCTTCATCGCTGTCATTATAATACTCGTAGAAGGCCCTGATTCTCTCCTGTTCATCCCAGTTCCTTTCCTCTTCAGACTCATCTTCTCCTAACTGTCCTGGCTCGGTGATCTCATAGGCTTCAGTGTTGAAGAAGAAGTCATCATCCAGCGAACCCCTGTTAGAAGGGCTTGTTGTTTGTTTTGCATCCCCTCTCTGTACCACTGAGTAGCTGTGGACGTCTTCTGCCGCAGGACGCCGAGTCACATCTGGAAGTGGTGTTTTCACCTCTTCTATGTCCTCTGTGGTTAACAGCTCTTCAGACAGATGAGCTGTTAACACGTCTAGATTCCAATTTATGCTGAAATCAGCTGCTTCCTCCCTTTTGTACTCATCATAAGACGCTGCACTGTCCCCATCTTGAGTGTCCTCCAGTTTCTTGTTGCTTTCAGGCTCTTGTAGAAGCGTTATGTCAAAGAGTTCCTCATCGCTCCTCTTTTCTTGGACATAATCATCGCTGGAGGTGTAGGAATCATTCTCACCTCCATCCTCTACCTCTGCTACAGCTGCATCAACCCACACATTCTCCTCAACCTCTTTTTCTCCAGTTGCTTCATCCAATGTCCTGCACTCATACACCTCTGAATCTCTGCTGCACTGATACCTGCCTCCCTCCTCCTCAGTGTCCTCATCTGTTCCCATACATGCTACATCTGATATTAGATCTGTCACATATTTTTCCAGGCCGGTGTTTAGCTTTTCAGTTGTCTCGCTGTCAGATGCACAAGCCAAGGCGTTTGACTCTTGCCTTTTTCCTTCATCTCCTACATATTCACATGAAGAAAAGTCTGAGGGATAATCTGCAAAGCTCTCACCTGCGTCTTGGTGCTCCTCCTCTGAGAATTCCTTCATTTTCTCTCCCTTTTCATCACCATTAACTTCAGCAATAAGATCCTTCAGATTTTGAACCGATATTTCTGGAAACTCCAAACTGGCTTTTGCTGCTTCATCTCCGCAAGTATTTTCAAACTCCTGCCCAAAGTACTGCACGTTTTCTTCTTGTTCAATGTTCATGCCCTCACACTCAGAGTCACACAAGTCCTCTTCCTTTTCTTGCTCATCTTCCTCTCTTATCCCATCACCTCTTAACATCATCTCATTGCCACGTTCAGGGACTCTCTCAAAATAGGACACCTCCTCATCACCCTCACCTTGCTCCTCTTTTCTAACTTGAGGGTTTTCAGCACCCTCCAGGGCCAGATGTTGTCCCTCAGGAAAGACCTCTTTATTACCAACACAAAACTCATCGCTGCAGCTAACTGACCTAAAAAAATACTCTGGTTGTGCTCCTGTTCCCATATCCTCTGCTTCAGCCACTTCATATTGCCCAGAAACGGATCCTTCCTGTTCGGACTCTGAGCTTGTATAATCTTCCTCGAGTATTTTGACGCTGCTCCTTACCCCTGCACCTTCAAAATCTTCATTGTCGCTTATATCATCATACTGCTTTTCAACAACTTCTGTGCGTGTATCTTGAGTTTCTATGCAAGACAAAACTGCAGTTTGACCCGTTGCTTCCTGTTGGAAAGCCTCGTCTTCTTTTGCAAGTACGTTTTCTGCACAGATGTCTGTTTCGTCTTCCTCACATTTATCCTCAAAATGTATGTTCTCAAAGTCCAAATCTCCATCAGAGGAAGATGGGACTGCTGTTTCTGTAACAAAATCAGCATTTGACAAATAAATAAAAGTAAATTATGAAAAAGAAAATAAGTAATACATACCACATGATGTATTTCTTACCTGAAAAAGCATCACTGAGTAATTCAGCAAAACTGTGCTCCATCTTTTCAAGTAGAAAAAACAATAGTACGAGTTATGTCAAGACAAACTACTGCACAGATGATCTCCTCTCAGAAAGGAAGAGAGGACGCAGTAGCTCTCTTCTGTTGTTGCTGCAAGTGGCTTCCTGTCAGGCAGACAGTGCATGAATTACATATTTAAACAACTATCTTCGATTAAACATATAAACAGTTTTCAGCAGTTAAACCTTACCATACAACGTCGGATAATCAAAAGGTCTCAAAGAAGTGAAGTCACAAAAGTAAATTGTGTTGCTGCAGGAAGTTACTTCATGAATTCATGAAGTGTGTCAGCCTTGATGTGGTTTTAGTTTCAGATGAATGATATAAACTCCAGCAGACGTACACAATGTTCATGCTAAAAGAACACACATGCATTTGTTTTTATGTATCTGAGATGAGTGCAGTGCAACTTTGACTAGTTGGTCATTAAAAAAAGAACAGTAGCTGTCAGTGATTATTTTGTTAGTAGCTTTTATTTAATTTGACATCTAAAATCAAGTAAAACAGTTCAAATGAAGACATCCGGGTTTGATGATGGTTGTCCTACAGCTCGTTGCGGAGGAGGTAGCGGTGGTTGGGCTTCAGGTCAACTTCTACAGGGAAATGATCGCTCACTTCGAGAGCCTAAAAGAGACATCACGAAGAACAGGATTAATGTTCGTTTTAAGTACAATACTGAACCAAAGAAAAGTATATTTTTAACATGTTTACCTCCTCCTCTGTGAGATGGAAATTCTCTTTAAAGTTGAACGGCTGAGCGGAGCCTGGCACTATACCGGAAATAATCTCACGTCCATGGACAATGATCCTGTTTGAAAGGGAGAAACGAATTGAAGGCATTACCCTACAGCCAAAAGAGTGATTGTAAAGGACTTCTTCAGGACTTCACTAACCTGTCGTAGGCACAGTGTGTCTTATCACGGACAGTAGTGTCTTGGTCATCTGCGATTAGCCAGTGAAATTTGGGGTCACTCCTCAAGCGGTTGGCCTTCCAGCCCTTGATGGTGACGTAGCTGCAGGCAGCGTTGAGGTCCCCTAAGATCATCACATTCTGAGTGAAGGAAAGGAAGCAAAAAGGGAAGTTCAAAACATCAAAAATACTCATAAATCTCATGATATGTGGAAGTGAGAAACCATAGCTTAACCATAAGAGGCAAAGCTTCAGAACACTGACAGAGACATAGATAAAACATGACCAAAATAAGTGGAAAATAATGCTATGGTTTAACCTCAGTCTTCCACTTCTGGTAAATCCCTTTGAAGACAGTGTGCAGTTCATTAATCTCCTTCATGGCATTTTTGGGACAGGTGTGCTGACCAATCAGGACAAAATCCTTCACCACTGCAACACAAGAAAACAATTATAAGTAAAGCATCTTCAAAGAACATGTGATAAACGTATCTATGTGATACTGGCCTCAGATCATACTAAGATACTAAGGTGGCTAATTTCCTGTCATGCAAGTTTTCAAAGATGCCGTTTCTTTTATCTTACATGTTGTTGGGGAGTGAAAGCGAACGATAAAAGGCTCTCTGGAGAAAACATCTGTTTCATTGGTCCCGTCTCCTTCTAGTTTAGGATACTGATAGTGCTCTTGGACCGTCAGCACATTGGTCCTGAAGAAGATGAGGGAGGAAAAAAGACAATGTTAAAGATGTCACCCTAAACTATCCCTCTACAGCAGTTGGCGGTGTTAGATTATAGGTTACCTGTAGAGGTAAACATACTGCTCCTTGTAGCTCTTCCTGCCCAGCCTTTCACTTTCCACATAGGAGTATGTGTTAGATTTGTCATATCTGCCGACAACAACATAGAAGAGATGCATTTAAAGTTGAATGTGTGACAGAGGTCTTACCACATCCTTTGAATGAGCCGGTTTGAAACTGAGAAAGCTTGTACCTGTTAAGATCCTTAACCAAAGCTTTTATTGCTGCTCCTTTGGAGTCTCTGACCTCCTGAATAAGACACAAGTCGCACCGAGAAAGAATCTATGGAGCAAAAGAAAAAGAAGACCTTTGAGTTGTTTACTGTTTACTGTGTAGATGTTGTTCTAGCTGTATACAAACAGTAAAATACCTTTAGTAGAATCTCCATAACCTTCCTGTTGTTTGCCTTTGATTCACCGAAGCTCTGAACATTGAACGCGCAGATTTTCAGGGCAGATGTGGCGTCCAGCACACACAACCCCACGACTAACAGCAGAACCGCAGTCCTCATCTCGCAGAGGCTTATCACTCTGAAAGTCAAAGAGGGTTTGGCAAGATCCTCTTAATCCTGTTGTGAAATATGTACAAAAAAAACTCTTCTGCTCTTACTTTGCCCCCTCTCACTCTCTGTGTCGGTTCCAACACGAGATTGACCTCAGGCAGGCAGAGATCCATCCCTTCAGTTGGTGGCGGTGTATTTGGGAACATGCAGGTAAACGGACGGATGTGCTGTGTCAGGGCCTGGTGAGAATGGAGCTTTATCTGGAACTGTTAAAACCACTGAACACAATGAACAGCGCTGTGTTTTGTCTCTGATTGTGAGTGTTATCAGACAATAGACACTGCCATGGGTCATGTCTGTCAGTTTCATGAACATTTGGGTAGAATTTACAACATATTATTCTGTCATTTTAGCATTGGGAGCTGGTTGTTACCATTACTGACATAAATAACGCTGAGCTCTTAACTGTGATGGGGGTGCTTCTCACTCTGACAGTCATTTTTATGTTATGTCTTTTTGATCTGTATTGTGTTTTTCTGTCATGTAGGCTACTCAATGACCTAATACAGGATATTACTAGTATCATCATATTAAATGATACCCAATCAATATGATGATACTGGTTCAAAGATAGTTAAGTATTGATACAATACATCGTTTTATAATGCAATAAGGTTTGATACATTTATTTAATAGTAGTGAAGTACATGTATTAAAATATAGCCTACTGTACTTGAATACAATGTTGATGAACTTAAGGAAATATTGTACTTTTTATGTATTACCTTTATTTGATAGCTGTAGTTACTTTGCAAGTTGAGGTATGAAGATGATGATGATTAAAAACATGTGTTGCACTGTTGTAGATTGAACTACATAATAATGTATATACTGTAGAGTAGTCAAAGTGTGTTTGACCTTAAACAGCCACAACACTAAGTATACATATGTTGATCCATCACGGTGATCACCAAAAATGTCTATGTTTAAAAAACTAACTCTGACAGGGGCTTACTGTATAATACCTTTTGTTAACCCAAGTATCATTTTTCAATGCAGAAAAGGACTTTGCTTTGACTGTAAATGAGTATTACTGTTTTTAAGATGTGACTATGTTCCCCAAACACGACACAAAAGTTAGTTATTGTTTGTACAGTAAGTAAGTACAGCAACCCTATCCCCTAGAAATACTGTTGTGGGGCTCAGGCATTTAGTTTCACTTGAACACACTTGAGTTTTATTAATAACTCTAAACGATATGACGTGACAGCTGGGGTCTTATTTTGTGTTTCCTTGTTTAAGATTGCACAAGTATACAACCATGAAACTGTAAACATGAGTGTTTTTTTTAATAGAATCAGAATACCTTTATTAGTCCCACAGATTAGTTAGTTAAGTTAGTTGGTTAACAGTGTCTTACAAATCTTTTATTAACCCAAAGCACGATGAACTCTAGACTCTAACTAGTGGCACATTTGTACAATATTTTAATTGAACGTAACGTCTGTAAAATTTGAATTGCTATTTCATTTTCCTTGCTCTCCATTCTTTCTTTAATTGAGAACAGTGGAGAACAGGTTTTTCTTGATTTTATATTTTTATTTCATTTTGACATGGCTTTTTCAATATAAAATAGGGTGCTTTTGACAAAATAAATGTAAAGTACAAAGAATACCTCACAATTTTTTTGAAACTATTAACTCACAGTTTCTCAAAATGTTATTAATGTCAGAAAACTATTAATGTCACAGTGCTTTTTAATTGTTGTAAACATTACAAACATTTTTCACACTGGAGGTGTTCACATGTATGCAAACATCCCACAGATGGCAACAAAAACTGTTCACACAAACTTTGAGCTCCAAGTCAAACATTTTTATCAAATCCAAAAATATTAACTAAATGCATCCTACATAGAAGAAGAAAAAGATAATCAAAAGCAACCAAAAAAACGACAATAAAATAATGTTGACATCATATGGGTCTAAAACAGCCTGAGTGTTGAGGAGAGGCCATGTCCATGAGATAGTCTTCGATACGTGTTTCTATGTCTGAGTACAGGTCTTTAACCTGCTCCCTGAAAGGAGGATGCCACAGCCACAACATGGCAACCCCCGTCACAGCCAGGAGAAATAGGAGGAACAAACACACCCTCCAGCAGGAGCCACACCGCGTCTAAACAAAGAGGGAAGAAAGAAATATATAAAATATAAAGTAATATATAGTTACATCTATACAGCAAGGTATGTAAGGTAAGATAACTAAGCACAATTTTGATCCCTGGTACTTTACCACATTTATTCAATATCTTTAACTCATTTAAAGATTCAAATTTAGAATAAAAAATATAATCAATAAGTTATGAATTATCATATGTTGAGATAAGACTGTTTTTATCCCTTTGCGGCTACCAAGCATATGGTCAAATAAGTTCCCTTTTCTAACATAAAAATTAACACATTAATGCATCGATAATTATATCTCATACAATATATTGGTAAATAGAAAATAGCCATTGTTTCGAGTGAATACATTTACTTTTGTACTGTAACTATGCTTTTGTTGTCTTACTAATGTAAAGCTTTTGTCAGTTAATGAGAGCATTTGAGTATATCAAGGAATTTTTTTTTATACTCCCTAACACACACACACACACACACACACACACACACACACACACACACACACACACACACACTCACACTCACACTCACACTCACACTCACACACACACACACACACGGCTCACCGGTCTCCTGCGGTGATGGCTGAGTTGCCGGAGCTCGTCCCTGCACTGCGACAGCCGGGCCTGGCTGGACTTACACTCCTGCTCCACGGAATGCAGCTCTGTCTGCAGCTCCTCGCACTGCAGACACACACACACACACACGCACACAGACACACAAATACAGAGACACACCATATGGCAGTATTGAGAATACATTTGTCTGCAACAATGAGTAATAATTTTTGACATTCATTTGAAAAAGAACCTTGTCGATACAAGGTGTTTCCTTTGTTTTATATTTCTGAATAATGCCTCTTTAACCATCATGATTATTATGCATCTCTGTACAACTCTGAGATCATGAACATTATAATTTATGAATATTCGTGTGGCAGATTGAAATAATCAAATTGTGAAACGTGTACAGTAAATGCGCTACAGTACACTTTGATATCTCGACTCTACCTCTCTCTCCTTGATTTGGAGTTTCTCCTGAGTGTGACGGAGCTCTTTCTCCACCTCAGAGTCCCTCCTCTCCGCCTGTCGTGTCTCTGCATCCTCTGACATCACACGCTCCTGCATCATCAAGTCCTGGCTCTTATTGCTGACATCTAGGGAATAGAAAGCAGTTCAAATTACTGATGTGTGTTTGCACGTATTATAAAAATAGCCCTCAGTATAAAGTAATATGACTATGTCTTGCCTCTGAGGTCCTGAATTTCCTCTCTTAAGGTCTGGTTGTCCTCTTCCAGCAGGGAAGCGTTGTACTGTAGGTCCTTATTCTCCTGTCTCAATGACACCACCTCCTGGCTCAGCCCGGACTCTCTGCCTCTAGACAGCTGAACAGTACACACAGAGGCTTTATAAGTACAGCACACAGTCAAACCTCTTTCCTTCCACCTGCTCTTGGACTACCGTACCTCCGCTTGGCTGTGCAGCTGTTGCAGTTGATCCTCACTGAGGCGTTGGTTCTCCCTGAGTTGTACAGAGTTCAGCTTCAGCTCCTCATAAAGGTCCTGCCACCTCAGTGACTCTGCGTTTACTTTTATGAGCGCTTCCTAGTGGCACAAAAACAAGGTATCTCAGAGATTCATGTATTAAATCTTACTTTTTGACATGTCAAAAGCAGCATCTACAGCCTGAAAACATAATTGAGTCAGTGACATGAATGTGTCTTTCAGCATAGTGAAAAGGAAACATTCTGGTTGTTTACATTTTGAGTTAAAAGCTAGATGTTTGTATGACCTGCAGTGTCTCAGCCTTGCAAAGCGCCTCAGTTTTCTCCTGTGTGACCTTCTGCAGTGTGACCAGTGCACTCTCCTCATACACCATTTTCTGCTTCTCCATCTGTATCACCAGTCTCTTCACTCCATCCTTGGGAAACTTCTAAAAGGACACAACACTGCTGAGGTACACCTACAAATGCTTACAGTGTTAATCAAATCGATATAGTAGTATCATCACTGCATGACTCAGTACAAGTGTCGAGAAGGTTGGCTTCTTTAGGAAGGACACCATTTTGGGATTGGTGCAAAGAAAGCATACAATAACAGAAAAGAAACACTAAATGGTTTGTTCTTCACCAGCAGCTGCAGTTCTTACCTGCAGGCTGACTTGCAGCTGCGCCTCCAGAGCCTTGATCTTGTTTCTCAGCAGGTCTTCAGAGCAGCGAGCCTGTGTGGGTTAGAAAGGAAATGAGTGGCTGTCACGCTGTAGCCTGCAGATGGAAAATGAATGGTTGGTCTACCAGACTCTGACAGTTTGTTCCTTCACTGTCTGCGCTCACAGGTGCACAAAGGGAACTTGCAGCATCAGTGAGCCTCAAAACAGATCACAATCTCTGCATGTGCTGCAGCAATACACTGTACTGAGTATGGAAACATATATAACGTATAAGTTCCCTCAGAATAACATACCTGAGTGAGAATTAAAAGGCACTCATTGTTTTAAAGTAATACAACTTCTAGATCCACAGCTCTCAAAACTCAAATACAAATTAAAAAACTACAAAAAAGAGGAACACAAAGATCACCCTTTCATTCATTAAAGCAAAGAGAAAGCTAATGAGGATGCATAGCACCTATACAATACAGCAACTGAATGTCACACCCTTCCTGTATAAGAACGACAGCTTTCAATATGCAATATAGGCTTGAGAGCGGAAGCAGGAAGCTCTTAACCACAGACTGCACAGGCCTTCCTGAGGTAGCATTCACCAAATGAGTTTTTCAATGTTATTACCAGAGAACCATTTCCTCTTAAAACTAAAGATTTGTGTTTAGTATTTTGAATCTGTTACTGCGAAAAACTGAGGGTTTTCGTGGTGATGGAGAATCTTACCGTCCATATTTTGCTGGAGGAGTTCACGAGGTTTGATGTGCTCTCCTGGAGGGCTGCTAGCTTCTTCCTCACAGCCTCCTCTCTCCACAGGGCCTCCTGGCACACAAACACACACAAACACACAGCAGAAAAGAGAGAGAGCTACAACAACATGCAAATCATGTCAGCATCGTATTCCCACAACTTCAAATATCATCTCATATTCTTCATAAAAATAAAACTGCAAGATTTCTTATTTTTGTCACAAACATTTAGTCAATTAACTCATAGTAGGCTACCTGGATAAAAACAAACTACAGCAGCAAAGTATGACTAGTTCTTACAATCCTGTTCGATATGTATATCTCAATACTGCTTCTACTGCTTTTAACAATTGCGTGTCCTTTTCCAATCTATTAACTTCATGCCCTGTTTTTGTATTGCTTTGATTTATTTTACGAAGCTTTTAGTAGGCTTACACCCTGGTTAGAGAATAGTCACTGTAAAAAAAAAAAGAAGCCTAATGGCTTATTGTAGTTAAGAATATATTTATAATATTTATGAACCTAACTTGTCGCTTATTGCAAATAATCCAAAATACAGACAAGCCATTAATTCAATTGCCACTAATTGCTAGCAGGCCACACTTTAGCTTCATATTATTTTAAAAGTAAAACTATCCAACTTGCATCCAAGAGTGATAAAACTGAAAACCAACAGTGATAAAAGTCAAACTTATTTAAGTAATGTCAGTTAAACAAAATGTAGCTCACTTTGCTAACGTTAGCCACCAAAAGCTAGAGGTCATTCCAGACAAAGTGACGCTGTATCAATAAGATCCCCAATTTTTAAGCTTAGGAGTTCAATGTTTTATTTACAAGAGGGAAATGTGTTCAATTCTCTAACGGTAGCACAGTCCTGCTTTAACTCAACAAATCAGCAGAACTTACCTGCAAGTAGTCAGTCAACCTCTGAAGATCCTATAATGTTAGAGATAAGAGACATCAAAGACATTTCATTAAATCTGATTTTTCTAATATGAAAATAAGATATAAAACCCAAGTTAGTTTAGCAACAGTTTGAAACTTACTGACTCTTTCACAGTGACAAAACCAGACCTGAAAGAAAGAAAATATACTATTAAGATAAAAAAACATTTACTTCTGCACTTTTTTGTAAGCTGGCAGTTTATCAGTATTAATTAATTATTCACATCGGTTTTATATCAAATATAAAACTATATGTGAGGGAAAAAAAGGTTGATCACTATTGCTTTTTATATGAAATTTGAGATTTAAGATTAACTCACAAAGTCTGCACACTGGACTCGTGCATTATCTTCTTTTGCAGAATATTTTCAGTTTTCATGATGAATTTTTTGTGGATCTTTTCTGTTTGGATGAATGTTTTGATGTTTGTATTTTGACCTTTAAGAAAAAGTTAGGACACAGCCTTGTTAGTATGGAAGATAATTTGCATTTTTGGTCAACAATGTTATGTAGGCAAGACTTTAACCATTTATAGTCTCTCTTTTATCTGTGCCTTTCGTCCTGCTCTGGGTTGTTTCCTTTATATCTGGTGGAGAGGTAGATGCTGGACTTCTAGCGCTGCCTTTCTCCTGCCTTAGTGTTACCTGTTCTGACCATAATGCAGCCTGAGGGGAGAGAGAGAAGAGGCAGGTGTTACAAAAGTTAAATAATGGAGCGTTATTCAAAAGTACAAAGTTCTTTACAGAGGAAAAAATAAATAAATTGACAACATTAATAATAAAATCCATTAAGGGCAAATAAAATAAATAAATAAAAGTAACAATCATCTCAGATAAAATCAGAATCTGCTTTCTGATAACTTTAAAGAAGAAGATCAATCATTCTTTTTCTAAGGTAACCATCTTAATAACATTGAATGATATTTACCCAGTTGCTGGTGCTTGGGCCATCAGATATTTTGCTGTTGGGTGTTAAAATAATCTTTGGAAGCCTTCCATTAGCAGTGGGAGTATTTTGGATGTTTGTATGCAATGTCTCTGACTTGCTGAATGAACTGTAATGTTTCAATGAAAACGTGTTTGGTGAAAGTTTCCTCCTGGAAGAATAGTTGGAAATATTTTCACCACACGGCTCTGGGCTCACTGATCTCCTCCTGAGGAATTCAAGATGCCTCTTTTCCTTCAGTTCATTTTTGATCAGTCTGGTGTTCAGCTCTCTTGTTGGGCTGCGACATGAAGTCACGTTGTTACGTCCTCGCAGGTATTCACGTTTCTCTGCTCTGAGGTCCACTTTCTGGTCAAAGGGTTTCTCTGGGGAGAGTTGTGATCCTCTGACAAGCAGGGCGTCCATGGCTGTCCTCTGGCTGTCCTCTGGCTGTTCAACTGCAACAATGTATCAGGAAATGAATGTAACTGTTAAATATGATTAAATATACAGTATGGCACACCATCTATAGCAGACTGGTATGATAGTCTCAATGAAATATTTCTAATAGAGACAATCACAAGCAGAAAATGCTTGTATCCCCAAATTGTGTTTTTTTTTCCTCAATGAATTTTTTTTTATATTATATTAATTAATACATTTACATTCTAAAAAGTAAAAAGGATAAATCATGAAATCTATTTAACTAATTATGATGTTGTTAACTGCTGCTTTAATGTGATTCCAACATTAAGGAAAACATGTCAAAAAAAGCAATATCTAATATATGTTAACAGCTGATTAAGAATGATTCAATTCACTGTGTGTATGCAATCATATAACTAAGATACGTTTTCAGTATTTTAGGTGCAAAATAATAGCTCAGACAGTGTTATACATTACAATATATATATGTAGATATGTATGTAACAACAGTTTTCTTGTTTTCCCATATACATAGAAAACACTGTATACATATATACCCTAAGTTGTTTGGTATAAATGGTTGTATTCCTAAACACCTCTTGTGAGAACTTGCAGCTAACAGAAATCATGTTTCTCTATTAGCTATAATGAAATAACTCTGTAAATAACTGTTGCTAATTTAAGCAAATTGGTGAATCGGCTCCAAAGTTATAGGAGTAGTATACTTCAAATGAAACAAAATGCAAAGCATAAACAGTTTCTTTTAAATGTAGGATGCCCTGTTTTGCAAATGAATGAATTATCTTTATGAACCAGTGAGGTAAGTTGTAAAATAAGCAATATGAATAATAACTTGCAAGGTAATGCTTTTATTAATAAAGGTAATGTTGCAATGATTGCATTGTGTTTGCATTTTGTCAGAAAGCTCATTTATCGCTGAGTATCAGAGTTCTCAAAGACAGACAAGGCCCTGGTGTATCGAGACTCTTAAGGGAAAATGTTCAAGATCATGCAAACACAAAATGTTACTTGAAAAGCAGAAATCATAGATCTTACCTAAAACGCCTGTCATTCAGTGGAGAAAAGTCTTCATGAAGTGAATGTGAAGTCCATTTTCTCACTCTTCTGAAATAGTGTCGGTGTTTTGTCTGTTTCACATAGCTGTTTCAGTTGAACATAATTTTACAGGAAGTGAAGAGAACCATAGCGTCATATGTTCCTCTATCTCACCAGCCACTCGCATCAAACTGATGCCATACACGGGTGGGCCCCAAGATTACACACACACAGACAATTCCCCCTGCAAACAGGCGATATAAAACACACCACAGTGGAGAGAGCTCTAAAAATAACAACAGTTTTTCATTAAAGTGGGTTAAAGAGGACTAGACTATATTCTGTCAGAGTATACACCAGATTTACCAATATATTGTCAAGACAAGATTTTGTTTGGACAGAAGCGTATAACTTGAATATTACCATTCACAGTTATTTTGTGTTATGTTACATAATTATGGAAATTGGAAAAAACCCAATATATGTGAATCTGGGCATTTTATTTGGTTTTTTAATGATTTGTATTTCCTTATTCATTCTTTATTTCTTACCCAATTGATCAAAGTGTGAAGCAAAAGGGTTCCCTCAGATTATAGATATTTTTGTGTTGTATTATCTTGTTATGATGTATAATTGTCAAACAGGCAGTTGTCTTCTGTAAATCCTGTGGCTGTGGTGGTTCACTCTACTGAAGGTGACCCCAAGAACCCAGTGGCCACAGTCAGACTTAAAAGGTGAAAACAATACCAGTGCCTCTGTTGTAGCTGGTTAAATGGGGAAAATAAACAAACTTCAATCTAAAACTGTACAGTAGATGAGAGCAGATTTGTCATCTGTAGTTGTGTATGGGTTGTTTACTTGTTTAATTTACTTTATTTTTGTATTTATAATAAGTTTTAATTAAGGTCATGATTATCTTCAATTGTATTTTACTTAATGCAACGGCTCTTAGCAAAGAGTAGAGCTATCAACTCAAATAAATGATCTACATTGATACCATAATCTCTATTAATCCAATCCAAAAAGTGAGGACAGTGACAAATGGTATCTGTGCATACAGCTCCATCTCGTGGTCACTTCCTTTAACAACCCTAAAAATAGAAGCTCTACTCAACTCTCGCGATACTTCAGGAGGATATCTCGTGTGTCCGCCATCCTTGTGGCTCTTTGCAGAAGGGCACGAAGAGCCCGAAACAAACAGTGTGCCCAGTGTAGCAGGAATACTTGGCTCTTCTTCCTTCAATCATGTTGTCCAGGGTCATTGCTGTGTCAGGTATGCATTATTATATGAATCTAGCAAATTATTGTTGTATGAAACTCTCATGCATAACCAGTGTCAGGTCGGAGAAAGAACAGTTTAAAGTGAATGTGAAGCTGAAGGGTAAAGTGAAGGCCGCACATTGAATGGGAGACATGCTAATGCTAGCTTTAAGTGGCTTAGCAACAAGCAAGGTACAACTGTAGCTATTGCTTGTATTTGTATTGGCAAAAACGCAATTGACTGTGTTTAATGTATTGTATTTATATATCAGACACCACTAACAGTTGGTTACAGCTGTGTTGAATGATCTAAAGCTAACTATAGCAAACCGAAGCTAGTTAGCTAGCTTTAGCTCTGCACGCATGTAAATGTCACCTTTTGACAGCTAGCGTTGGTCGGTATTGGGACTTTTTACGTTTTTAATAAAGGACAAACACCACTTACACAATGCAAATCCACAAGAAGTGTTTATTTTATCTTAAAGCTTTCACAAGTTATTCATTTGAGGACAACCTATTTGCTACCTGACATTTGTATTGTTGATATCATGCTATCATTAGGTGATATTAAAATGGCTTCATACAATTATAAGATTTCTTGACTTCTGTATATATTGACCATGTATACATTTCCAGTTTATGTATTACACATGGCAAATACAACAGTCCTGGAACTATTACAACCTTCATGAAGGTTACAATGTTCAGCTGTTGTAGAAACAATTTCAGAGTGGTGTTGAATGCTTAAGTATAAAATAAATGCACTAAATATGAATAAAAACAAGCAATATTTGCAGCCCTGAATTTACATCATTGTTTCTTCTTGATTGCAGCCAGTGGCCTGAAAAGCACTGCCCCCCTTGGAGCTGGGTAAGTGTGTTTTTTAAATATATTTGTATTTAAGTATTTGTTGCCAACAGGATAGATTTAAGGAATAACAAATACAAATCTTTTATCTTATTAAAAGTGATGTGTGATTTTGTTTTGCACAGTCTGATCCAGGCCTCTCGCTCCCTGCACACATCATCCCCGAGTCTGGCTCCAGTGCCCCCCCTGCCAGAGGCAGGCAAGGTCCGTCATGGCATCGTACCAGAGGAGTTCTTCCAGCTCCTGTACCCCAAGACTGGAGCTACAGGTCGGTAGACGCAACACTCACCTTTTTGGTTATTTAATTTCTCTTAGGAAAAATCAGTGCTGAAATGAAACACTGAGTATTTGAATACCGCTGTATAGCTTCACTTAAATAAAATAATGAACAGCAATTGTAACCTTAATAGCTACCAACAAATATTACATATGTATTCTCATTAGGTCAAAACCCAACAAACATCAAAGAGTTTCGATGTCAGTATTAAAAACATCATCCATGCAATAAAAAGTGTCATTTCCAAATGTTCAATAACTCATTGTGGTGGGAAAGATTTAAACAAATAGTCTGAAATTGAATTAATAAAATGCAGCGGCAAGCAAAAGTCTTAAGCCCTGTTTAGAATGGTCAGAGTTTAAGCAGAGATTTAGTTTCCTTTGAGTTGTTCAGATATGTATTGCATACCAACTGAATGCAGCTTGTATGTTTCTGTGGCTTATCACTGATTCTGATCAAAATGAAGATGCTACATGAACATTGACTGATCAAATTCTCCATGCTGATCTTTCTCACTAGGACCCTACATGCTGGGTACTGGCCTCAGCGTCTGGCTGCTCTCCAAGGAGCTCTACGTCATCAACCATGAGACCGTTGCAGCCCTAACCGTCGGCACCGTCTTCGTCTTAGCTGTCAAGAAATTTGGACCAAGCTTTGCATCTGCTATGGACAAAATGGAAGAGGTAAGCTGGCAACCACTTGGATTTGCGTTTTTTTCTGACCAATTATTGGCTACGTTTTAAAGGCAAAATAACGAGGACCCTTCTCGTTTTGGAAAGAGCTTATTCAAATTGACGTTTTACCTTCATGTATATTTGCATTTCTTTCCCGTGTTCTGTTCCGAACAAAGCCAAAATGCAAACCTAATCCTACTCATTCTGCCTTTTTCCGAATTTCTGATCTTCTTTTTTTTTTGCATAGACATGTTTGTATGCTATTTGTCTTTTTTAATTTGTGTACAGCCTTTTCAAGCCCTGATATGATGCTGTGTGTGTTGTGTTTTTGCAGGAAAAAGCAGCCTGGATTGAAGACGTGAAGGACCAAGCCATGGCGTGCTACGTTGATGCTATCGAGGAGGAGAAGAAGGAACAGTGGCGAGTGGAGGGAAGATCCATGCTCTTCGACGCTAAGAGGGTAACCAGCTTTGAACTGTCCGTTTCTATTTTCCCACATCTTCATAATGTTCCGTTCCCTATTCACGCGGCACTCATTACACAATAAACATGTATTATTCTAAACTTTACATCAGGAACCTGTTAGTATTTTTATCCACACATTTTGATAAGTTATTCCCATATATCTGACCAAAGATGAGTCTATTCTTCTACTCTCATTTAACTGTTGCTCAGGTAAATGTTCCTCCCTCTGCACTTTCAATTGTCAGTCTAGTAGAACCATTGAACAGCGTTGTTCTCAGTTTACAAAACCAAACTTCTTTTTATAAAGCCCTTCATACAAGTACATTTTTCTTTAGTAAACCTTTTACAAACTAGCTCACGTTAGATCATATGTGCTGTAAAGCCAATAGATCAGAGTAAATGTTTAGATGTAAGGAAGGAGTTTCGCCTGCTTTAAATGAATATGGAAGATGCACTAAATGCCAACATTAGCAACCCAAATGTAGACCAGGTGTATTTCGTCAGTGAGCTTTCTTTGACTGTATGGACTGCTCTTCCCCTCAGAACAACGTGTCCATGCTGTTGGAAACCAACTACAGAGAGAGGCTACACCATGCGAACCACGAGGTGAAGAGGCGCCTGGACTACCAGCTGGCCCTGCAGCACCTCAAGGTCCGGATGGAGAAGGAGCACATGGTCAACTGGGTGGAGAAGAACGTCGTCGGCAGCATCACCGCCCAGCAGGTCGGTGTCAAACTGTCGAAGCCTCCAGCAGGAGGAGGAGGAGGAGGAGGAGGAGGAGGAGGAGAGGAGGAGGAGGAGGAGGAGGAGGAGGAGGAGGAGGGGAGGAGGATGATGAAAATGTTTTGCTTTTCACAAATATTTTTTTAAAGTCACCATTGCATTTGTTTTGGGGGAGATTTCAGTTTTCACTATCTTTCTACCTTTTTGAGGATCAAACATCCAGTGTCAGGGTGGTATCTCTAGTCTTGTCCTCTTATGGCGGATTCACACTACAGCGCGGAGCTCGCTTTAAGCGTGCCGAGCCGTGCGGGGCCTGTTTTTGGTTGCGCTTACACTTGGCCTAGTTCCGGTCCGGGGCTACTTTTTCACCTTTTTTCTGGCCCGACTAAATCGTGGTTCTATCGAGGCCAACAAACAGGGCTGAGTCGGGCTGAGTTTGCTAAACTAGAGAGAGAATCGCTGTCAAGGGGGCTACAACTACAACAAGATGAACATATTTGACCGTGATTTAATACACGTTTCAAAATGATGCCGAAGTAACAACATACTGATACCGGATATTAAAAACCATGAATTAATGCTTTGACAAGTCTGCAGACAGACGGCAGACAAAAAACCTTTTAAAATGCGTGTTTTCTAAATGGAGCTTGGCTTAGCTAACGTTATATATGCTCCGACCGTCCACACTCACAACAACGGCCTATACAGAGTAGACATAAATAAACCAGCGACTGTATTCGCCATGACACAGGCAGTCTGTGGTTTGTACTTGTTTAACTTTTGTCTAGTTTCTGAACAGATATGAAGAGCTGTGAGCTCTGAGTGCTAAGAGCTAACGGCTGTGTTGTTTTTCTGGGGCGCTCATTGAAGATGACGTCACGGCTCCGCCTACACTGCGTTACTATAGATACTACCCCAGTTCCTAAACTGTAATGTGAGCGCAGCATTAAAGTGAGCCTGGCCTAATAAGGCCTAACCAAACCGAGCGAGGCCGAGCGAGGCCTGCAGTGGCGCATTTACTGTCTTGGCCCAGCTGTAAAACATTATAAGAGAAGCCCCCTCTCTACAAACACCCATTTTTTTAAAGATGCAAACTTTCCAAGTTATCCAAGAGAATGTTATTGTTGTTATTATTATTATTATTATTATTATTATGAGTCTCTTGGAAGCAGCCATAGTTATTTTTCTGGGAAGTTAGCAGGTTTTAGATCCCTAACGTCGGTGACATGGAGATTCTTGGCTGACAGATGAGTTCACTTCCTGTCCATCTGGAGATACTTTGGACTTGATTTCACTCGTCAGCATTTATTTCCTTCCTGTCAGAAAAAAAAAACATGTTACCCAAGTATCTTTAGAATTAACTAGACTAACGATACACTTTAGGTGTCACTAAAGTCTAAAATACACATTACATTACATTACATTGCATTTAGCTGATGCTTTTATCCAAAGCGACTTACAGTAAGTGCATTCGACCAGGAAGATACAACCTTGAAGAAAACAGAATCATATAAGTACATCAGGTTTCAAAGAGCCAAAACATTTCAAGTGTTTTATTAGTATATAAGTGCAGTTCTTTGTTAGTAATTTTATTGTTCGAAGTGGAGTCGAAAGAGATGAGTTTTCAGTCTGCGCCGGAAGATGTGTAAGCTTTCTGCTGTACTGATTTCAATGGGGAGCTCATTCCACCATTTTGGAGCCAGGATAGCAAACCCACGTGTTTTTGCTGATGGGAACTTGGGTCCCCCTCACAGTGCGGGTGCAGCGAGCTGTTTGGCCGATGCAGAGCAAATTGCACGTGGTGGGGTGTACGGTTTAACCATGTCCTGGATGTAGGAAGGGCCAGATCAATTCGCAGATACAAATAATAAACAGACTTAATTACACTCCCCAGCCTTGCTAATTAGGATACAAACCATATTGCAACACGCTCATGTAATCTCTTTTGCATCTGGACTCAAACAGACCATTCAAACGGAATATCTGATTAAAACAAGAAATGCCTTTTTTCTATATATAAAATAAGGACCTTCTTTATTTTTCATTTTACAAAAGAGAAATTATTTTAGTTTGGATTTCTATTATCACTAATAGAAAAACGGAGCCGCCCTTATTTATTGTTTATTGATTTACTTCTAAAATAAGAGATTTCTTAAATGTTTTATGAAGTTTACAAGTTGACACTCAATGGTTTGCATTGTGTTTGTGTGTTTGTGTTTTAGGAGAAGGAGAGTATCGCCAAGTGCATCTCAGACCTGAATGTCTTGGCCAAGAACATCCAGGCCAAAGCTACAGCATAAACGGTCGATCCTCAGAGAAGATTTCTCTCATCCCCAACCCGCGGTCCCATGACGACACCCCACTTTTCTTTACAGAATAAACGTTATCCTCTCTAAAGATTGTCTCTGTCAATATGTTTTGGGTGTGTACAGTATGTTCACGTCATCTGATAGTAAAATAAATAATTCTCTTATTCAACTTGAAGAGGCTGGTTTGTGTTTTTCCACTTAAAGCAATGTCTTTTCTTTCTATAAACACTGAGTTTAACCTTTGCATGTATTTGTCAGTGTTGTTGGGTGTGAATGTGGAACATACTTACGTCACCACTTTTATAGCCATAATAGATTACGCTCGAGCTAGGTTATTGTATAAGAGCATTTTCTGGATCACTGAGGACCTTTGATTGCTCTGTCTGTGATACTTAGAAGCATTTTCAGACCTTTGGACTCATGAGCCACAGACACCATACCTCTCATACAAACCCTTAAAATGACAAATCCTGCCAAGCCTCAGGATCTGTCACTCCTGTCAGATCTCTGCACTTTGATCCTCGCTCCTATAAGCAGGAAGTCAAGGAACATTTCTCTAGTCTGCGTGGGGAGCAGATGCATTCTGCTCGGTAGAAAATCTATTTAAAAGAAGAGAAAGATGACACCAGAGCAGGGCTGACACTGACAGGTAATGAATACATTATGGAAAAGAATATCAGAGGTTTAAATGAAGGGATGTTTAATACATCTTGACTGTTGGTGGCATTACGTTCTGTTAAGAAATATAAATGTCTTAGCTCTTCAAAAAAGTAGGTTAACGTGAAACTTCATTTAATCCAGCAGTCACGTGTTTTAATTATTCTGGTAATGTGTGTATTTGTGATGTTTGTCGTCTTGTTGCTAAATTGGAGCAGGTGTTTTTTTCTATTTCGGTTTTAAAAGGTACTCTGTTTACCTATAATATATTCAGATCCAAGTCCAGTCAGCAGGTGAAATCCTGAGGACAGTTTAATAATTACTGGTGTTTTTTCATTTTAACCATGAATTTATAACAATGAACTGAATGGGGTTTTCCCTCTTCGTGAATGATCAGAGTTTAGTTTTAAAGCGAAGTAACAAGTGAGAGCCTCGAGACAATAAGAAATGTTTAAATGTAGTGTAATCATTGCGACATGCCTCTTAAGTTTTCTAACACTTTCTGACATTGAGCAAGCTGAAAGACTGATCGTACCAAAACACATTGGACAGTAGCAATAAAACACCTGAGTGTGCTTTATTTTATTGTTTGTTAATTCAACTTTTAATTTGTGAAAAGAATGTGTTATTTTGTCCTTCAGAAGTAAACAATGTAAATGAACCAAGTGGGTGAACAAATCCCTGTTTATGTCATGTATATTTGCAACATCTGTTGTTTTTGTGACTTGTTCTCTGTCAGATTGACAGCATAGGAAACATCTTTTCCTACAGGTTGGAGAGGCTCTAAGTATTTACTGCCAATCTGAGTTTTGACTCTTCCAGAAAGAGGCAGACAAAGTTTCACAATGTTTGGAAACACCGGACCTTTCTCATATGCCCCGAGGTTAGTATATTTAATTTCACTTTCAGGTTCACTTGGGATTCATTTGGTCAAGCCTTTGAACACCAATGACATTATTTACGACACTACTGCTCACACCCTTTCACGATAAAACATAACTGTGTGGTGGTAACTGCAGCTGATGGTTTATCTTCATATCTGTTGCTTTTATCTCTCCTCAGGGGTTTCTCCCAGGAGGACCTCCCCCAGCAGAGGAGAGCTTTCCAACAAGACGACCTGAGGGGCGCTCCGCTGCAGAGAAACAACATGTCCAGACCGAGTGCCAAATCCATATACAGTAGGCTCAGACATAAACAAACCTAATTATTGTGTCTATAAGATACATATTTGACTGTTTTCACGATGGACAACACACATCAAAGTCTTTCAATTGCAAATGACACTATTAAATTGACATCGAATATTCCAAAAATGTAGGGAACAATCATAAATACTCAGACATATATACAAAATAGATTTATATTATATAAATGAGTGTTGTACAGTGGCTACAACATGCCTACAGGTTTGCATTATTGCTTGTAAAATAACATTGTAACAACGTGTACCCCCGAGTTATTTACTTTTTATGTAACAGTTTACTGCTATAATTATTAGCTTGAAACCCCATTTTCTGACATTTATGAAAGATTTGTTTTACATCAGAGCAGAGAAAGGAGTACTCTGATTCGCTGAACAAACATCCCGACAACTTCCACGTCAGAGTGGAGGTAAGTGATGCCTAACACAGCGCCAGCATGGAGACATCCTTTATCTCTCCTCTCCATGACGTCTCCACTTTGTCTCGACAGCACCTGTTCACCTGCGAGCTGGACGGCCAGGAGGTGAAGACGATGGACGACTGCCTGGCCAAGCTGAAGAGGCTGGATGGGAAGGGTCGCCTGTGGCCTCAGGAGATGACCATGGAGGTTCAGGGTGGATATCTGCTGCTGAGTGACATTGAGACCAAGGTGGGTGGCTTCACACTTTAGATAAAGATATATCCATTTTCTACAGCACAAGGTGAAGCACTAGGCCCAAAATATGTGGACACCATAACATTTCCCCTTTAATATTTGTCCCCCTTTAAAAAAAAATTCCAAGTGTTTTACATTTTGTAAATGCTTTAAAAGTTAAAGTACTATGTTGAATGTGTAGCCGGGGGAAAGTGATTAAAGGGAACAATCTTTAAGAAGCAAGATAATATGTTAAAGGTCTCTCATTAGTTGATTTAGTGCTGTAATTGATAAAAGTAGTTGTTACGGCTGTATGTGATGAAAATGTACAATTTATTTTTGTACTATCAACAAATGCTTTTGAATCCCTTTTTTCTTCAGAAGGAAGTGAGGAAAGTGACACAAAAAGTATGCTGGGGTCATATCTAGTCAAATCTGAATTGTTTGAGATTGTTGTGTTAATGACTTAACTGCTGAACAAATCTATGTTGAATGCAGGTTTTAAACTATATTTAACATTTTAATAATGACCTTTTAGCCAAAAAAGAGCCTTTTAGAATTGAGCTGGGGTAATTTGTCGGTTTCTTTATCCTTTTCCAAAAACGTTTCAGTGGTAAAACATGAAAAGCAACAAAACTATTTAAATAATATTTGGGAAATGGATCACCAAACAAATGTTTTTTTGTCACTTGCCTGACAGGTCTTCCATAGCTTCATTTTTTATTGAGTACTAAGTAGATCTACAAGCATTTATTTTTGGTTTATTTAAAACATTCAAAAAGATAAAATCTAAAAAAGTGGACTTGTCAGGGATAGAACAATAAAGTGCTAGACTTATTTCCATTGCTGTTGGGGATGTTTTCTCGGCTCGGAGAGCCAGGATGACGGAAAGCATTCAGTGTCTGACATTTAGATTTATTAGAAAAGTAGTTTGTTAATAATTTCAGTACTGATTATTAATTGAGTATTTCATCAAAACGTTTGTGCTGTTGAATCTCATTCCAGGCAGAGCTGGAGTCGCTGCCTCTGCTCTCCATCGAGAAAACCAAAGCGGTGCTGGACAGCTGTGCCTACAACTCCCTGCTGACAGTTACCGTGCATGAACGAAACAAACGCACCCGCCAGGTCTTCATGTTCCAGTGTGAGGAGACTGGGGTGAGTCCTGTTTCACCTGAACCCTCAGAGTGATCTCTGGACCGTAACTTAACTATGTGAAAGTCATGTTCAGATCTTTGAAAATATCATCACTATTTTATAACTACTGATTGTTGCAGGTGTCATTGGGGTTTCTTTAAACATGGTTAATCTGGAAGTACTTAAAAGTTTGTGAATATGAGGGAAACAAATCTAAGCAATGAGGATTTAGAAAATAGACCTACGTACCCATGATTCATGGAAATTCCTTTAATGAATATATTTTTTGCAATATGAGAAATTGAAGTTATTTTAATTATCTCTTCAACTCTTAAATAATTACTGTTCTGTGTTAAAGAAGGCAAGAGAACACAGTCTGCCATCTGTGTAGACATTCATTATAAATCTCTGTTTTACCAGGCGGAGCAGGTCAAGAGTGATCTGGATAAGGCGATGCAGAGAGGAGGTGATGTTGTGGAGCCGCGCAGAGAGATACCTGACATCAGGTACAATGTCACATGACATGAATACACTCCAGAGGGAGATCAAATCAATTGAATTAGAAAGTAATTGAGTAGTGAAATGTAATAATGCTGTCTGTATATTTTCAGGAGTAATCTTGAGAATATAATCGGGCAACATGTCCCAGGGAGGCAGGCCGGGCCTCGTCCTGTGCTGCGAGAGAGAACCCCCCCACCACCACCGGACAACCCGCCCCCACAGTGGAGGGATAGAGAGCCAGGTACAGCTTCATCTAATTCACTGAAAGCATATGAAAAACTATTTTTAAGGATAGGAATAAACAATGAAATGATTTAAACATAAAGTTGAAGCCTCACGTTTCTCTAAAATGAAAAACCACATTAAAAGCATGTCTTTAATTTTCTCATAGAAATACTTAGAAAGCTCATTATCTTAACATCGAAAGGGATTGAGTTTAACACTTCGGGGTTATAAAAACAGAAAGCACTCTTACCGGCACTTTTATTGGACACTTAGACAATAAGATTAACTTTATTGTCCAAGTGGAAATGGTTCCTTCTCCAAGTTAAGCCATGGTACACACAATACACAGCACAAAAACACCATTCAAACATACAAAATATAATTTCTACCTATTGCAAATGGACATGTAAAAATAATAGCAAACGTTTATACTGATGATATTTGTTTCTTAACTATTAATTGTGATGTCTAGTAGAAGATATGCAGCCTCCAAGATCCTACACACCACAGGAACCGATGATGCACCATCCTGATCTTTATGAACTACAGATCAGCCCAGAGCCGGCGGAGCAGAAGGACATAGAGAGGAGCATAGTCAGTGATACGTTAAATACAAGCACTACTATTGGTCTATATCCATGATAAATGATCATAGAAGTTATCTAATCATCTCGAAAACATTGTGTCATGTGTGTCTGTTCCTTTTCCCAGGACATTTTGAACCACATTATAAATGACTTGGAGATCTTCATGGGCAGAGTGTCTGCTGCAGTAAATGCATCTTCTTTACCGCAAGGGGAGAAGAGCAAGAAGAAAAAAAGCTCATCTAAGAAGAAGAAATCTAAAAGAAATGGTAATTTGTATCCCTAGTTTATATTTCCAATTGCACATAATGAAAACAGAAGTAATTACTGGAGAAGTGTCTCACTAAAGGTGCTGATATGCTGATAATACATTTATAAAAATATGTTTTTTTTATGCAGGTGCACCCGATGCTAGTCTGCCAACCTGGGAGGAATACGTCTCCTATCTTCAGAATGTCAAATATGGATTCAATCTGCTGGTTAGCACTTTGTCAAAGCTCTTAATGTCTCCACAGAGTTGTTTGGGAAAGATTTTGGGTGAAAGCTTGAACGTGTAGACACACGTTAAAGCACGTTCGTGTGATTTCAGCAGGAAGCAGTGTGACTGAATCTGTTTGTGTTGCAGGGCGAGCTGGAAGGGAACCTGAGCAGCCCCACGGCTCCTGACTTCGTCCACATCTTCTTCAACAGTTTAAACTCGGTGAGCTCTTTTAAATGTTTTTTTTCACTGGAAACTCCACCCACCAATTATTTACAGGGATTAAAAACTGTAATTAGGCAAGACCAGAAACATGTGACAGAGACACAGATGACTGTTTATTGCTGCAACTCTTAGTCGAGTAATAGATTATTCGAGGGACAGGAGAATAATCGCCTAGTATTTAGAAAATCGATTAATCGTTAAAGTCGGATAATTTGTGCTGTTTTATATTATATATTAAACCCACAATAAATAAAAAGACTAGCCACAGCCATGCACCAGAGACACTATTGCAGATTTGCATGTGATGCTCTCACTGTCAATCTTATTTGTATTCACTTCAACAGTTCATACTAACTTCCTTCTTCCATTCCCACAGATACTGCCTGAGTACCCTGCAGACCTGCCTCTCACGGTGCTCTCCCCCTTGCTGACGGAGGCGGCCCTGCGGCTGCTCAGTGAGGTGGTGGACCCCGAGGAGGACCGGCTGTGGCGGTCTCTGGGAGACTGCTGGAACTTCCCCAGGTGGGGCGGCCTTTATGACCCTCACACACACTCCCATAAATATTTTTATTGGGCCTGTTACCTCCTCTTATATAGCCCACTGATTGTAAGTGTCACCTGCCCTCTCACGCCCTGACCTTGGGCGTAGTGTTTGCTGATATGACGCATTCAGGCCCTATAGAAAACGTGGTAGACAGGAGAGTGTTTAAACTATCCCATATTTCAGTTGTAGGATGGTACATTCAACTTCAGGCCTAACTTTTGGCAGAATATACATTGAAGGGCATATTTATTAAATGCATTCATTTGCTAATGCTTTATTGGTGTGTTTTTTAAAGTGTATATGAACAAATGGTTGCCATGTTGTAAAACAAATCCCTTTATCTGGTGTTCAGCTTCCTGTGGCGGTACACTTTCTTTGTCGTTAGTAGTCCAACAATGGAGCATTTAACCACTGAAATCAGATGAAGGTGCATTATACATTGGATAAACAAATTCCTTTCTTTATTTGTTTACCTTTGTGCACACCAGCTGTTCTCCTTTTCACAGGCTTTATGCTAAGCTAACCATCTTGTGGTTCTTGCTTCATATTTACAGTGCTACACAAAGTATCTTAAAGTGTCACAACTCTTTTTTTTTTATTATAAACTCTTCAGGGACTGGGTCTTATTAGAAAGTGAAAACATTTTGTGATTCAAAATGACATTGTGATGACACATGATTTTCTTGTTTTGTGCATGCTTGAATGTCAATCACTCATTTGTCTAATGAAACTCACTAGAAGCAATGATTAATACAGTTCATTTAAAAGGTCATTAAAGCATTGGAAATATGTGTTTGTGTTTTAAACGTGGCTGATGTCCCTTCGCAGGTCGAGATTTCCAAACGAAGATGTCCAACCTTACATCCCAGAGTTCTACGATGGCTGGCAGCCGTCTCCCCTGTCCCGCAGACCCTCCCCCCTCCCTCCGATGAGCAGGTCCAACAGTCAGCGCTTCCCCCCCAACGCCCCCCGTGAGCCTCCTCTGTACATGCGGGTCATTTACGACTTCATGGCCAGGAACAGCCGAGAGCTGAGCATCATGAAGTGGGAAGATGTTCAGGTGAGGTGAAAAACTTTGACTCAGAATTAAGATATACAGGATTATGCTTGTGTTTTTAAGCACTGTGCAAGTATTGTAGATACAAATAATAGTGAACATGTTTTATATGAAGCATATTTGGAGTAGATTACTGTATGCAGATGTGAAGTACTTAGATATTTGTATTTATAATTAGTAATACCAGTGTAGAAATCCAATCCAATAACACTTATTGCATTCATAGATTTTTACTAAATAATACAATAAATAAATACTTAGTAAAAGTACAAAACTATTAGCACTAAACTAAAGTAAAAGTACTCATTCTGGTCATTCAGGTCTAAGTTCTGGTCTACTCATTTCAGAATGATATTATATATTATTATAACTAAACCCATGGGTGTTTTTTATGTATGAATGGTGCTATTTATAAAATGTATTGTCTATAATGAAACTATAAGCTGATAAGAGTGAGTGAAAATTCAGTGAAAGACATTGACATTGAAACAGCAGGATGAGAGCCAACGTCCAGACATAATACCCTGTTCAAAACTTCACACACCGTACTTCTGTACCACTCAGGACTCAGTCTTGTTTCTCTGTGCTTTTTCATCAAGCTGTTGTGCATTCTCAGTCTTTCTGGCAGTATCAGCATCCAGGTGTTTGAGATGTTTGGTTCTTCTGCCTTTTACAGGTGGTTAAGAAAGAGAAGCAGTGGTGGCTTGTCCGTAACTCCCGGGAGGAGGAAGGCTACGTTCCTCAGAATGTCCTGGAGCCAATAAAGAGCGACGAGTCTGCTCAAGACCAACCGGTGAGCTAAGCTTTACTAAGTAACCACTTAATAAGTTCCACATGATATTTTATTCCCCTCGCTCTCCCTCACAGTGGGACGCTCGCGGGGATCCGGTGACACTGGACATGACCTCCACATCTGCAGAGGTCCAAGCCTGGCTGGATTACAAAGGATTCTCCAGAATGTGAGTGAAATAACTCACAGTGGAACAGGAAGACTTGTGATGCACTAGAAAGTCGTATATAATCTTTCATGTGTCTCCATGTGCAGCACCGTGAACAGCCTCGGGGTGCTGTCCGGCAAACTGCTCCTGGGGATGAGCAAGAACGACATCAGGACTGTGTGTCCAGAGGAGGGGGGGAAGGTCTTCTTCCAGCTCCAGGCCGTTAAGTCAGCCATTGCAGTAAGTGACGCGTTATGTGCTACACTGACTCTATAAGGCTGTGTCAGAATCACATTGCTTATATACTAGTAATATTTCACTAATAATAACAAATATAACTGCATAAAGTGTAGAGTTTGTGTATGTGAGTAATGCCGGGATGTATTCTAGATTAGCAATCATTTGTAAGTATGGGATGTTACCTTATTGTACAAAAATCAACTTCCCCAAAATGCATTGCAGCTTTTCAGACTGTCCAATGGAGGACTGAGACAGACGTTTTAAATATTATTTGGATAAAACCATTAGGAATGATTGGGTTAGGAGCGGTTAAGAGGAAAATCATGGGAGCTCACATACATATTGTACTATAGAAAAACGGTAACAGACTGTCATGTGATGCAGAGTAGACATTTGGATTGAGAATACTTCAGTGTGCAGTCTGCTGGTCTTTCATTTAGTAGGCAGATTAAGTGTGCAGTATGTGAAACCATTAATGGCTCATCCTGTTCCCCACAGCTCGCCAGTGAACCATCAAGCCCGTTCATCGGCCGCTACTAATGACCTGCTTCACTTGGGTTTGAGTTCTCCTGAATTAACAAATGGAATAACTGTCTAATTAATCTTTATGTCAGAAATGATTTACCTCTGCAATTCAGTTATATAAGGAAAAGCACCTTTACTGAATGAAACTTCTATATAACTTATCACCAGCAGCAGTAATTGTGACTTAAATCAAATTTGACTGCAATTTATTTGACTATTAGTTAGCTCAAGTACATTTTGTATAGGTTTTCTGACTGTTATTTACCCCGAAAGCCTGTATGTGTTCAATCAAACAAATCAGATCTTCTTTCTCTTATCTGTATTAACTTATATTATATTTTATTGTAATGGTTAGATGTATTGTATATTGTAAAGTGATGTTGAAATTGAGCCACAGACAAAAAGAAAGTGCAAGATTTACTTTAATCGGTCCAAAATAATTTCTCTTTCAAATGTTAATTAAGTGCTTTAACTTTTCCTTAATATCAATACAAATTTGTATTTCTTTTTACACAACTCAGATTCAACTTAGAACAGTTTTAGAACGTGAATGTAATCGTTTGGGAAACTGTAATATGTGATCAAAGGACCTGAAAACAGCATATAAAAGAAATATACTACAAAGAATGTCACTTGTCCTGAATTTACAAGTTATTGAGGCAGTTGCACTTGTGAACGTTGTTCCTTTCATTATTACGGTGTGGAGGAATTGTCCTTCACTCTTTCTTGTTTCCCCACTTGGCCATCTTGTTGTTGACGGGAGTCTTCATGAATCTGTCCGACTTCATGTATGCAGCGATCTTCTCCAGAGCCTAAGATTTCATATGAAGTCATTACAAATAATAACTTTGCAAAATCAGCCCACAACTTCCCATACATGTATACTTTATTTACAGTGGTGGAAAGTAATAAAGTAGATTTACTAAGGTTTCCATTGTATCCTACCTTATACTTAAGCTACTTGAATAGTAGTTAATAGCAACTTTTCCCATATAAAAATAGGTGACGTTTTTTTATATAATTTGATGCAGTACTAGTAATATAACCAGTATTTAAAAAAAGTTACAAAAATAGTTTTTACATTGACAAACATCTACTTCAGTAGCGTTTGGATTTCATTTTCTTCTTCCACCTGATATTATTTACCTAAAGACATGACACCATCACAGAGAAAGACAAAATGTGCAGGACTTTGTATTTCCTGAATGCAACTTTCAGTGGTGGGTGAAGGATGTGTGTTTTATATCAGTTGAGAGTTCTCACCTCAAAACGGTCTAGAAGATCTTTGAGGTTCTTGAAGTCATCGAGGCACGTAGGGTGAAACATCCTGTGCTGATCCAGCAGCTCGTACATGACGAAGTCCACAAAAGTGATCTGTTGTAAAGAAGAGTTGTATTAACAAATATGCTGAAAGCGAAGTACAGGTTCAAACTAAGCGGCAAATGTGGAGGCAGAGCAGTGAGGCCTATACATAAGTAGAACAAAACTGCAGTTCATCAGTTGGCCACTTGAGGCCGCCTGCAGAAAGGGGCAATCTCCATAGAACTCAATGTTGAAATGTCCAACTCCTCACCAGATATACTGTACGTTGAAAGCCTGGTACACAAAGCAAGATTGGTCTCCATTCCCCTATCCATGACAACTCGTCAATGACAACCATCTGACAATAACGTCCATATTTTACAGTCAACCAGCCTTTTGAAGCTGCACCCATCAACAGTGCAGTCAGTCATTGTTTGTCCCTATTGTCCAACTCGGCAGGTCTACAGAAGCTTTATGAAATGTTAAAGGTTATCTTTCTGGTTGTTCAACCCAGGCCTCGAGCTTAAGGACGTCCCGTCGTCGAAAAAAATAGTGTCGGGGAGGATAAAAAATAATTTTGGGACGAATTTGGGACGAGAGTTAAAATAAAAACACCCTGCTAACTCTACTACAAACGGCGACGAAAATGAAACCGACTGCACGTTTTGTGTAGCACACAGTTATTAAACCTCCTTGTCAACATAAACACACACGCATAAACAACCCACCACGCACAAAAACATTTAGCAACCCGCAAAATACACACACACACAACACACACACACACCACAACACCACACACACACACACCAACACACACACACACACACACACACACACACACACACACACACACACACACACCACACACACACACACACACACACACACCACACACACACACATCACACACACACACACCCACACACACACAACACACACACCACACACACACACACACACACACCACACACAACACACACACACACACCACACACACAAAGTAGCCTACGTAGCTACAGCTGTGCCACTGGCTGTCAGCCAGCGGCACAGCTGGCTGTGCCCCGCGAATTCCTGGCCGCACAATTCGCGGGTCTAGCTACAGAGCTCTAGTTCTGAGTGTGTGTATTTCGCGGGTTGAGTGATGTAAAATCGACAATGGACAATCCCCCGTGGAAGGAATTTCTGAAATTTTTACCGTTACAAGTCACAAAAACGCACCAGCAGAACCAGACCTGGAGCGCCAGGCGCCTCTCTTTATTATAACTTTACCTCTTCCTTCATCCCCTTATTACAAGCAGGCGCGAAGATGAGAACCACCCCATCCAGTATTATATTAATCCTTAGCAATATGCTCTGCGCCTCCTTCCCCATGTAAGGATGGAGTAACTGGAGCCCCGGTTATTAAAACTGGCCCCGCCGGGCGGAATTATTAAAGACAGTGTAACGTTAAGCTCCGGACGTTATCTGACTTTTCATCGGTACTTGGAGACATTTAAAAAATATATGTCAATACTGTATTATTGCTACATAAAACATTATCCTTCGCAGTTTTAAGTTTTGCCAACTCCGTTTCTAATATGCAATAAGACTACAACATGCGTCTATGATGTATTTTCGAGCTTTCCAATCCAGACGAGATCTCTCTCTCCCGTCTGTGTGCGAGGGGGCGGGGCAGTTTGTAAAGGTCTCCTGACTGTGTTACAGACTGTCATCCTGGTTAGTGGTTACTCTGGGTTCTGTCTTCAGGATAGAGTGTTGGATTTTTTTTGTTAATTGGATGGGACTTAATTGGATTCAATATTAGAGTAATTTTCTCGTTTGTGTGTTTGTTTAAATATAATTGTCCTTTGTTTATGTGATTGACTGATTTACTCAAATAAAAAGGTTGATGAATTATCATCTAATGATTTGTATGATGTTTTTATTATGTTAAAGATCACTTTGAATGATTTTAACTAATGATAATGTAGAAAAACTAATATTTTAAATTCGGGAGGGTCCACATTAATTTCGGGACGGCTTAGATTGTATTTCGGGACGGTTCCGGGAGGATGGTGAAAAAAGTTAGTCGAGAGCCCTGGTTCAACCCACAGACTTACTGCTTTGTGCTGCGTCACCTTGAATCAACACCGTTTCCAGCAGAAAAGCTAATAAATCTACCGTGTGCGACACGACCAGCACCGAACAGCAGACAAAGTTAGTGACCATATAGCAGCTCGAGAGAGACCCAGTTTTATTCATCAGAAAACAACTCCAAATGTCAATGCTAATTTTTCTTTCTAAGGCCATTATATGTCAAATGTATGTAGGGTGGTGGTGTATTAATACAGTTTAAAATGACATCTCTGACATACCTTGTCACCAGCGAACCACTTCCTGTCTCCCAAGAAACCTGAGAAGCTCTTCAGTGCGTCTGGCAGCATCTTAAGGAACCCTGGCTTTATATTGTCCTGGTGTCAGAGGTGATGTTGGCATTAGTGAAGACTCAAGGTGGAAAGTTGCAAATTCAGTGTTACTAAACGTTTAATGCAGGACTCACAAAGTCAGCATAGCACAGCATCACAAAGCCATTTCTGAAGTCCATAGCCTGGTTCTCCATGATGTCCACACGGACATTTTCGTCCTCTGTCTCTCCACCTGCAATCAGATCAGAATTAATGAGACACTTGAGGAAGAAAAGTGAGATACTGACATATGCATATCATTGTGTGGTTCCTTATTTTGACTAAGCAGAACATGAGTTTTCCTAAAAATAGTAGAAATCTTATTTTGAAATGTTAAAGGATGAATACAAAATACATCTTTGTTCAAGGCATTGGATGACAAACTCATTTTGTGCCATAAGAAGATTGTACCCTGAGACGGACAGAATTGCATATTAAGATTTAAGATTGTAGGGATTCTTACCCTATTGGTGTCATTTATCTAAAGTCATTACATTGTTAAATTAACATTGACTTCAAAATAGGTTACAACAAAACACTTTTAGTTTACTGCTTCTGAATAATAAATTAGTCTCTTTTAACCAAATATATAAAAATGTGGAACAAATACAAAATACTTACACAAATTGTGCTTACGAGCAATGTATCTCATGATAGCATTGCTCTGCACTATCTTTCTGTCTCCATCCTCCAAGTAGGGCAGCTATGGTGAGATGTTCAAATGTCTATTGTTATATACATTTTGTATTTCCAGCTGTACACTTTCATTAATAATTACAGGTTAAACTGACTTACATTGGGAAAGTCCATTCCAAGCTTGGGTTTTTCATCAGTCCAGCAGCTCTTGTCAAAGTCGGGAGCTGTGTGAGAGAAATACAGGTGAGATGATGAAGCAGGTATACTGGATACTTGCAACATTTCTTTGAGTATAAAGCTATGCATCTGTTCAAATCTGTACTTTACCTTCACCACAGACGTAAAACTTGTTCTCATACTTGGTGCCGGTGTACTCCAGAAGCAGACGAGCAGGCTGTGCGAGCTAGATTAGAGTCCAAAAATCAGAGATTGGATGAGATATTGTGGTTTTCTCAAGATTCTTTTGAATCAAGATTAGAATTTTTTTTATCTTCAAGAACATGGCTGTGTGAGCGCGTCTGACTTTCTGGTTTTGGCCACATAAATTAGAACTTTTGCAATATAAGCAGGGGCGGAATAAGTGTTCAGATTGCTTAATTACTTCCATAGTTAAAAGGAATTGTCTGCTAAATGTACACCAATAATACAATACCTTATATACTGTAGCCCACTGAGGGAGAACTTATTTCACTTTTGTTTGTCAAGGAACTAAACATAAAACAATTGCATTGTATTTAAAGTTTTTTGTAGGTTTTAAAATTACAATCTTTAAAGTACAGTAAGTAATACAACTGTCAGATTCAATTAAAAATAATACATTTAGGTAGGCTACTGTACCTCATCATTGTACTAAGTTTAAATACAGTAGCCTACTTCACTAAATGTAGGCCAACTTAGTTACTTTACAC